GGATGGACAGGAAGTTGCTCATAAATTCCATCGTTCCTTGATCATAAAGCCAGATGCGAAATGCTCTGTAAGTGTTGTCAGTGTGATTTTTATTATGAAATCCTCATCCATTGGTCCAATTATTGTTTAATGTATTTTACCTTAAAAAGATATGGAGTAGCAGCGTTGATATTCCGCATAACCCGCCATCCGATATTGTTATGAAGAATCTGACCTTTCACTCCGGGCAAAACATTAAGCTTATCCTGTTGGATCAGGATGGCAAGGTATGTGTTTTTTTATTCAATACATTTATCCTTACATGACGATTGTACTGCTTCAGATTTATATTCATTTTTTTGGGAAGGCTGTTTATTGAAGGGGCATAGTCGAATATTCTTTTTTTGGACGAATTGTCGCTTTCCTTATACCACTGATCTATTTTAATGATCTTTACTATTATACGCTGGGTATAATATAAGGAAATTACGCTCCCATTCTTTTATTTGCACTTTGTTATAACTGCGCCTTGGTGCTTTCAATTTACTTCTTGTCAAAATGTCTTCGTCAATTTTACTTATTTGCATGTCCAAATTAGCATGTAATTCGATTTCCGTCAACGGTGACCTTCATTTTGTATGGTATTTGGTAGTAGTTACTTTTCACCGGACTTGAACAGTCTTACTATGAGTTTAGTCGTTTTAAATGATTAGTCTTTCGGATTATCTGTTTTCTGGTGATATTGTCTCGCGATGATTCTTCGGGTAGCTCTGAAAAATTTTGACCAAAAAGCAGGTTTTTCGCAGTAAATAATACATTAAATTTATTACCTACCCGCGTGTGATAATAAGCATGGCCCGTGGTGAGTTTTGACTTTCCAAGATTTCGTTCTAATAAACAAAAATGTATTCTATCTTCTTGTTTACGTATTACTTAATGGGCTTTGATAAATGGCCTCGTTTGGTACTTGAAGCTTCAAAGTTGCATAATTATGCTTCGTTTTGACGTTCCAATTGTTTGAATGTGGTTAACATTATTCGCTACATTTTTATCATCCTTTTAGGAGCAAGCTACCTGCACTATTGTTAGAGAACGAATACGTCAAGCTGGCCCCACCTATACCAGACGTCATCAAGGCCAGGAAGAGGTATTTACGTGATAATATGAATTAACATTTTTTTCTCTTTATTTATTACTTTTTTATTTTACAGAAATGTTTGGTCATGTAGAAGCGAGCTAGAGGTCCGTCGAAATTTTATTGCCTTTCGCATTCATCCCTCATAGGCGTCTTAAATTGTTAGCTATATTTACCTCATTTCCTACCAAATTACCACAGCATCCTTACTCTAA